CGGTGGGAGTGCGAGTGCGCCGAATGGGAATGGTGCGCAGACATCGATGTCGACGATACCGCCCTGGGGCCCCGCAGGCCTCGCGCCCGCGCCCGGCTCCTCATCCTACACCAGCACGAGCGCCAACGTCACACCGAACGCCGCCCCCACGTCCTTCAGCGCGCACGCGCGCGCGCGTACGGCGTCGGCGGGGTATGCCGCTGGTGCGTCGTCCTCCTCGGCGTCCTCGCTGTCGCCATCCGCGTCCTCCCTTTCGCCATCCCCCGCATCCGGCTCCGGGTCCGGCTCCCCCACCCCGAGCTCCCCACGCACAGCAGGCACCCTCCCGCGGCGCGTGCCCATGTCCATGTCGCTGCACCGCTTCAGCATGATCAACGGGCCCGCCTCGCCCGGGGGCGGCGGCGGGGGGATGTCCATGACGTTCAACCCCTCTTCGCCTGGTGGCATGGGCATGGGCATGGGCGACATGCGCCTGAGCCCGAGCGTGATCGTGCGCCAGCCGCCGCTCGCGATTCCGGTGTTGAGGCTGCCGCCCACCGCTTCTTCTGCAAGTGGGATTGGTGCAAGTGGGATTGGTGGGAGTGGGAGTGGGGCGACGAGTCCCACTGCAGACGGCGGAGGAGGGGGAGGGACTGTAGGGCGACGGTCGAGCGTGATTTTCGGGCCGGGGGTGGCGAGGGAGGGGAGCGTGAGCAAGGCGGTGGTGAGGAGTATGCCGGCGCTGGCGATGGAGGGGGCGAGGGGTGATCGGGATGAGGATGAGGACGAGGAGGGGGAGGAGGATGGGGACGATGATGAGATTGATTTGGAGTTGGAGGACGGGAGGGACGAGGATGGGGATGGGGATGGGGATGGGAGGGACAGCATCGATGTGGACCGTGAAGAGTCGCCGTTCGTGCCCCTGCCGCTGCGCCTCGATACGTCGGCGCTCGCGTTGGATTTTGGCGGGTTTTTTACCCCCGGGGTGGGAGATGCGAAGGGCAAGGGCAAGGGGCGCGAGGTGCCGTCGCGGATGCAGTCGTACGCGTCTGCCACGACGTCCGAGGGCGTCAAGACGCCGCAGCCGCAGCCGCAGAAGACGCCCACGCCGCAGGCCTGGCGGGCGGACTACTTCTCTGGGCGTACGCCGACGGGCGACGCGCCCGGCTCGCCGTTCGCCAGCGCGCCGTTCACGCCGGCGCTCCCGCGCACCGTGCCGATACCCCCCATGCCCGCCTCGCCCGGCGCGGAGCTCCGCCCGTCGCTCTACAAGCACGCGTCGCGCAGCATGGTCGATATCCTGTCGTCCGCGGCGGCGTCTGGCGCCGGCGGGGAGGCGGAGGCGGGCGGGGAGGACGGGGAGGCGGCGCGCGGGGAGGCGCCGGCGTACGACGGCCCGCGGCGCGTGAGCACGCTGAAGAGGCGGCGCTCGATGCCGGAGATCATGGCCGCGCCGCCGCCGTACACGCTCCCCTCGCCGTTCCACCCGCTCGCGGCGGCTGTGGGGCCCGGCGCCGGGAACGCGCACCCGCTCGCGCAGGCGCGCATTGCGCCGCGCGACGACGAGGGGCGCGAGGCGCTGCCGGGGTACAGCAACGCGATCCTGCTGCGCGGGGAGATGCCGCGCAAGATGGAGTTTACTGCGCCGGGGGTGCAGGCGCGGGACCGGAAGTGGCGGCGGGTGGTGTGTGAGCTGGAGGGGACGGTGTTTCGGGTGTATCGCGTGCCTGGGGAGGGGTGGTGGGAGCGGCATGTGGGCACGGGGGATGTTGCGGCGGCGGGGAGCGCGGTCGCGAGTGCGGCCGCTGCGGCCGCTGCTGCGGTCAAGGCGCGCGCGGAGGCGAGGGAGGGCGCGCAGGCGGGGAAGATTGCGGGCGAGGAGGAGAGTAGGGGCGGTGGAAGTGGGGGTGGAGTTGAGAATGAGGAAGGGACCACTGAGGTCGTCGTGCCGCCGCGGGCGAGCATGTCTTCTATGCGTAGCCGCGCGTCGTCGTCCGCCACGTCCGCGTCCGCTTCGCAGCCGTCGCCAACGTCTTCGACAGAAGGGACGCCCGGCGCCATGCCCAGCAACCGCTCGCGCTTGAATCTCGGGCTCAGTCTGCTCAAGCCGCGCGCGCACGGGCGGTCAAGAAGCGACCTGCCGAACCCACCGCCCAGGACGCCCATCACCCCGCGCTCGTCTCTCTCCATCCCGCGGCCGCCGTTTACTGCGGGCTTGGGCCCCGGAAGTGCGAGTGGGAGTGGGAGCTCTGCCAGCAGTAGCACGTCGGGCCCGGCCCTCTCGTCGTCGCGCTCGAACACCAGCCTCGCGTCGTCGCGTTCGGGGCTCCTCAGCGCGCGCGCACCGGCGACCCCGACAAGTACCAAGGGCAAGGGAAAGGCGAAGGCGAAGGCGGGGACGGACGTCCCGGAGCCCGACCGCGCGGATCTCATCCGGGCGTACTCGCTGCAGAACGCCGAGAGCGGGCTTGGGAACGACTACGTGAAGCGCAAGCACGTCATCCGCGTGCGGCTCGAGGGCGAGCAGTTCTTGCTCCAGGCGCGCGACGTCGGTGATGTCGTCGACTGGATCGAGGTGCGTTTTGAAGTGCTTGATAATGGCACTCGACGCTAAACCGCGGACAGGGCTTTCATAGTGCGACCAATATTGCTCTGGATCTGGACGAGCGAGTCATGCCTAAAGGTCCGCTGTTCCCCAGGTGAGTTTCCCCGTCGTTCCTCTCCGTTATGCGGTGCCTGATTGTTCGTTGTGCAGACGGAGGAGACGCCGCGCACGGGCGGCTAATACTGATACTAATAATAATACGTCTGAGCCTGGGACGCTCCAGTCGTCGTCCTGATTTCGATTTGCTGAACTCTTCCTATATCGCATGCCATTCACGAATTTTAATGCTTAGCGCAATGTGTTTATAGACTTAGCAAGTACATATACAATAATTATTTTCGCACCATATATTCTCACGCGGCCCGATTGCCGGAATGGGGACAAAGCGACAGCACCATGCGATTCAGAGGTTATCTTCTTGACTCATTCGCGATCCCTCCTTTTGCGTCTCAGCCCGGACAGAATACCCCGCACTCTGTAACGATTCTTTCTTGCTGTTCACACGACCTCTACGCCTATCTCATATCTTTCTCCGCCCGGCCCCGATACCCGCTTCCAGTACATCCTACGCCGGAATTTAATCGTGCATGGCAGACTCTGCGATAGAGATTGACCTCGACTCGGTCATAGACAAGCTCCTCGAAGGTGCGCACGCCAGGGGCGTTTTCCCCGCGCCGCCGCGCTGACTTGCGCCACAGTGCGCGGAAACCGCCCCGGCAAGCCCGTACAGCTGCAAGAGTACGAAATCAAGTACCTCTGCACCAAGGCGCGCGAAATCTTCATCAACCAGCCCATCCTCCTCGAGCTCGAGGCGCCGATTAAGATCTGTGGTGCGTCGTGTGCCCCTCAATGGCGTAATTCTCTCACACCGGGCGGCGCGCAGGCGACATTCATGGGCAGTACTACGACCTCCTGCGATTGTTCGAATACGGCGGCTTCCCGCCCGAGGCCAACTACCTCTTTCTCGGGGATTACGTCGACCGCGGGAAGCAGTCGCTCGAGACGATCTGCTTGCTGCTCGCGTACAAGATTAAATACCCCGAGAACTTTTTCATTCTTCGCGGGAACCACGAGTGCGCATGCATCAACCGGATATACGGGTTTTACGATGAGTGTGCGTACGCCGTGTCGTTGCTGTTATTTAATTTGACCGCGGCGCAGGCAAGCGCCGGTACAACATAAAGCTGTGGAAGACGTTCACGGACTGCTTCAACTGCCTTCCTATCGCCGCCATTATCGACGAGAAGATATTCACGATGCATGGCGGCCTAAGCCCGGACCTACAGTCGATGGAGCAGATACGGCGTGTGATGCGGCCGACGGACGTCCCTGACACGGGTGCGTGTCGTTTTTCGAGCTAAATATTAATATCGAACATCCCGCAGGCCTGCTCTCCGACCTCCTGTGGTCCGACCCGGATAAGGACATCACTGGCTGGTCAGAGAACGACCGCGGCGTGTCCTTTACCTTCGGCCCCGATGTCGTCGCGCGCTTCCTCCAAAAACACGACATGGACCTTATATGTAGAGGGCACCAGGTGCGTTTGCTGCCCTGCGCGAGGCGGCGCCCGTGCTGACATCTATCGCTCCGCACTGCAGGTCGTCGAGGACGGGTACGAGTTCTTCGCGAAGCGGCATCTCGTCACCCTCTTCTCCGCGCCAAACTACTGCGGCGAGTTTGACAACGCGGGCGCGATGATGAGTGTCGACGAGTCGCTCTTGTGCTCCTTCCAGGTGCGTGGCCGCTGTTATCCTTTCCTTAACCCCTGTCCTAACTTCGAAAACAGATCCTCAAGCCCGCCGAGAAAAAGCCAAAATACCCTTATGCTGCCAACAACGGCGTCACGACGCCGCGCAGGCAGAAGAAGCGCGGGGCGGCTTGACGCGGCGTGCTTTGCTTTGAGGTCGGCCGGCGGTGTGGATAGATTGACGCTGCCGAACATTAGCGCATGTACGATATATTGCTGCTTCATTCTCTTTTTTATTTGTTTTTTTTATTGGGGGCATGAGCTTGGACGTGGAACCGTCATCAATTTGGGTGTCGCGTGGACCGAGTGGACATGTTGTATGATTATCGCATACCGCTGCGCACGACATAGGGTACCGGTTGACGAGGGTGCCTCTAATCTAAATATTTACTGCACGTTGCTTCCTTGGACTGGGTCAAGTGCCTTGCCCTTCATGTCTTCCGGAAACAGAAACCACTCCGCCGATTACGTGAGATATCGGCCCAATTGGGACATTGCAATCAAAACGCGATACAGCGTCGTTCCTGGCGGTAACTATTCCGAGGGGAAGACGCCCGGTGGCTGGAGGGCCCAGTCTTGTTTTGTTTCAAGAATGGAACTGGAATGGACTAGTCTGAGACGACAATCGATTCATATCATATTAGATCAAATTTGCAAGAATCCCAAAAATGATTCGACCCAGGTTCGAACTGAGGACCGCCTGTGAAATCACGTGATTTTAATCGCGTTGTTAGACAGAAGTGATAACCAACTACACCATCGAACCACAAAGGTGCCATGTGAGACTTGATATGATCGTAGGCACATGTTTTTGCAGATCCTTGAAATTCGCAAAATAAAATTTAACAAGAGGTTTGTGTGCGCAAATCTACAGAGTTAGAGCTTTTAGAGGTATTTAAGATACTAAATCTCGCTATCTATTCCCATTAAATATCCCAACGCTTCAATGTGCGAGAAAGAAACAACGGCGGAATGACGGACTCCGAACGGACAATCCATGAGAATGATGCGGGCAGCATGATGCGGGAGGTCCTTTTCCAACGCTGTAGTAACAACTTCCCGTGTAAGCCCGTCCAGTGCGTGCTGCCAGGTGACGTCCAGCTGTATGCTTTTAAGTCGCGCGTACTGAGGACGGTTGAGGATAGCGGAGAGCTGATCGAACAACTTGCGGGTAGGTTTCTGCCCCAATAGAAAGGGCCCAAAAACCACGCCCAAGGTCAACTCCTCGAGTCTATCGAGCTTAAAGTTCTGTAATATTTGTGGGAGACCGGGAAAGACGCCGAGGTTCCCATCTCGGGAGATCGAGAGCGCGTGTGCGATGCGGAGTGATTGGAGCGCGGTATTTGCAGAGAAATCTGTCAGCGCTGCCGAATTGTGGGAAGTGGGTGCATTGACTCGCACATGACTGAGTCAAAGTGATGACTTACAGAGAACGGAGGGGACACTCAAATGGCGCAGGTTTGTGTTGAGTATGCGGAGGTAGTCTGATATGCGGACAGGCCCGCGATCATCTAATCCTGTGAGTTTTAGGCGGGGGGTCGAAATTTGACCGGCCGAGGTAGAACCGAGCCAGCGAAGAAGCTGATCGTTCTGCCAGACACAGACAGATAGTGTCTGCAATGACAAACCTGAGAACAGCTTTTGGTTATGCGGCACCTTTGCTTTCCTAGATTCGGTCGGAAATGCCAAGCTGTCCAGTGTCAAAGCCTTGAGGCTGGGAAATTGCGACAGGAGGTCGACAAATGCAGCGAAGGAGGGAAACTGAACGCTACTGAGTTCCAAAGTCGATACAGTGGGGGAAAGCGGAATTGGTTGGCCAATATATCCTGCCACAAGGATGATGGAATCCAAACGGGCGAACTGCGGGAGCTGGTCGAGCAGGGACTGAGGTTTGAGGCCATTCGAGTGGCCGAGCACGAGTTCTATGGCCCGCACCGTGCCGAAAAATGTGTTGAATGGGGATTTGATGAGATTTATAAAGGCAGTGAATCGGATAGATTCTGCGTTCAGGGTGATGTCTCTGTGCACGAATTTCCGGCTGGCAGGCAGCCAATTGCGGGCGACGAGGCCGCAGACCCGGAGGGTGGGGAAACATGGCCCCAAATAGTCAATTATATGGTCTATAGTTTCGGGTGGAAGTATGGGTCCGGTTCTGGTCCAATTGTGCGCCATTCAAGGAAGGGAGTTCTAAGAAAGAAGAAAGGGGTTTATTTGCACCAATCAAATTGATCAATCCTTGATGCCATCCGAGTCAAACACAACTCATGGCTGAGATTCCAATCATGTTCTCCTGGGTCCAAGGCTCGGGAAGTTTGATAGGTAGATGGTTCTGCACATTTAATCGGGGTTCAGCGCTCAGCTAAAACGAGGGCAGAACAAATAGAAATAGAAAAAGAGCTACGCTGACAATAATGGGATTGTATCGGATTCCATCTCATCGAGTCCTCCACTTCCACCGCCCTCCGGCTAACCATGGTAAGCAATGCGTCCGGTGACATAAACCGCGGTTTCTTCTCGCATTCACAACAACTTCAGCCGCCAGTTGGCCGCCACTGGCATTGAGAAGAATGTTGTCGGGACTCGGGCCTGGTCACAGCCACCGGAAACTGCCGTTGATCCATGTTGAACTTCAACTTCAACTGCTCCAAGGCCAAATGGCAGAGGGACCAGATAATTTTGAAATTGTGGAGTAAATGGATCCAAACACATACATGTATATGTACTTAGAAACACCATTAGCTGATATTTTCCACCTTTCCCGTCTTGAGGTCGAAAATCATACCAGCAACCACGAGATCCTTGCTGAAATACGGAGACTTTTGAAGGAAATTAACGTCGTCCTTCACACTCTTCTGCAAATCTCCATCAACTATGGCGTCGAAGTTCATCGCGTCCAGCTCCGCAGCCTTGTGCGGGCACTTCTCCTTGAAAAACGTGTTGATCCCCGCATCGGTCATGTGCGTTAGGCCGCAGTCTGTAAAAGGACCCTGGTTTATCCCTTTATAGGTCAAATACTGCGTTTGTCCGAACTTTGAGGCGCTTAATTTATTCCCACGGTATTTGAACATGCCAAAACGCTCCTTTTGGCTTTGCCGTCAAACGGCTTGGGAATTTTTTTTGAAAATTGGCGAAATTTTGTCCGAACTCCGTATTTGACCTATAAAGGGATAAACCAGGGTCCTTCTGTAAACATAATTAAAATTTGTTCAGCCCAAGAGTTCGGTGACATGCCGGTGTGGTGCACAATAACAATGCGGCCAAGACCTATCAGATACTCGAGGATCAACAGGGTTTGTAGCGCGTCCTTTGCGCGTCCACCCGCCACGCGGACAACCGGCATTTCTCCCCTAACAAAGCCTAGGTATTGCTCGGGTATGAGACGCGAGTCCGTGCAGGAGACAATACATGTGGCTTGGTGCCTGGGCAAGCTGCGCAGCAAGTTAAAGTCACCGGGGGGCGTGGTGTAGTCGGCTGAGGCATATGCGCTATAAGGTAGACGACCATCAGCACTGTCAACGGAAGGTTTCAACACAATTGGCACTTGTTCTTGCTAATCATCAGCAAACCCTGGATTTGACCATAGTTGACCATAGTTGCCATAGTTGCCATAGATTCCGCCCAAAGTACATAGGACTCTGTAGTGGTCTGTAGTTTTCAGTCAAAGCTACATAGTTGTACATAGTTTTGCAGCCAAGCTGCGTAGTTTCGCATAGTTTTTCGATTTCCTGTAGCCACCAGAGCCTCAAGGCAGTTCAGACGCGCAATTAGATTTCAAAAAGCCACATTATTTCATTGAGATAGAGCAAAGAAGAGCTCTTTGTTAAACCATTTACATAACCAAAATTCTTCACAAAAATCCAGACTGGTTTCCATTGAGTACCGCCGTTCGGCTACTTTCCCAAAGCGCGGAGTGAGCTCAACAGGCACCCGGAGGCGATCCAAGGGGACAATATCTCCCATAATGGACCCATCTGCCCTCCGCGCCCGTTTCAGCAAATACATCCCGGTGGCTTGCTCTGGAAAAGTGCCTCTCTCACCGCTTCCATTCATTTGCGGCACAATGTCGAACCGCTGCACATAAGCCAAAAACCCGCTAGTTCCCGCTGGAGGCAACGTATCACGTCGAGGAACAACACGCAAAATCATGCGTAACTGGCACACCGTGTGACCTGGCAGGGAAGTGAACCAAAAGAAAGGTAGGAGCCATATGGAAACTGAAGCTTACCAGCCAAACCACTACTCGGCCAGTTATACTCCGAGTCCGTGTTTATGATCACAGCATCGGCTCTCCCCACCTTCCAAGTAGTGTCGGGGGGAGCAGCGTTAACGGTCTCCGGAATCAGGATCTTGTCAGTATCATGAAAGGACCGTAATTGGATGCGCAGGTTATGCCATATTTCCAGCTTTTCGAAGGGCAGAGTATCATTACGAATAGCAGGGCGTCTACCTCCTATCACAAGCTTTGGCCCAGATTGGCGGTGTATGTAGGTGGCAAGGGCAGGGCGTAGATCTGGGATTCGGAATTTCGTTCCCGCTGCGTCAACGTCCATTTGTCGGCCCACATGGTCCCGGTTCAAGTGAAACCCAGTGGAGTTGTTGGAGTCGGTAAAAGTCCTGTAGGGTATTGGTGCATGCGGAAACTTCCCTCCTTTTAGTAAGGAGCTTTCCGTGAAATAATTCACCGCCACCCTACCAGTTCCCCCAAGTTTCGTGACGGGCTCGATCTGATCCAGGAGGTCAACCGTCCCCTCAACGAAAGACAGCTCCTTGTCATCCGGCTGTAGCTCTGGAGCGATAAACCCGACTCCAGCCGTCTCCATAGCTGTAGCCAAATCAAACTGTCGACACTTCTGGCGTCTGTCAAGATGGCGACAAATCTGCGCTTCATAACTCTGGTGGTTAGAATTGGAGGCGGGGTCCTTCACAAGAGTGATGTGAGCATGTTCGGTGACATCAGCGCTCCATTGGAGGGGAACACCGTTTGCTCGGATAGCAGGAACGACGCTCTGGAGAAATTCAAGCTTGGGAATGTGCCTATCGCTGTGATTAGATCTGAACCGCCAGACTAGGTCAAAAACGTACCAATTTTCAATCGGTCCCTTCTTTCCTCGCCGAGCTCCAGCATCTAGGATAGCCTGTTTGTGGTCATGGAATCGCCCCAAGCAAGCGTCCATTTTGGCCAGTATATCTTCACTGATTTTGGGTGCTTGACCATGGTAAAAAAAGTCCACCAGAGACGTGATAGCAGTCAGGAATTCCTTGGTAACCCCCCGTGCTTCGGCGATGATAGGGACTACATAACGCATAATGTCCCTGTGTTCTCGTCCGGTTGTCTGCTTGGCCTTGGAGATTCCCTCCCTGAAGTGCCTCATCCCTGTATGAGGACGCAAGACGGCAAAGCGGAAGTCAATCTCCGCTGAGCCAACAGCTGCAAGGCACCACTTGACCAGATGATCGTAGAACATCTTTAACCAATGGTGAAGAATCTCCGGAGTAAGAAAGTCGCATGGCTCAGCCAAGGGCCAGTTCCGCCAGAAAGGGCGATGAACGCCGTTAAGGCCCTTAGCCTTAGCGCTCTTGATGTACGTGGGTAGATCCCAAGGATCCAATGTCTTCTCGAGCTCTGTTAACTGATCCAATGTAATGCTGGCTGTACGAGGAGGGTGACGAAACGCGTCTCCAAAGTCCTTGTAAGTTGCTGTCGTAACTGATGATCTCTTGCCCGCTACACCAGCAATTAACGTCGATTCAGGAGTATCGACGATA